TTAACAATATCATTAACATTTCTTGTTATAGTGGTTCTTTGTCTCATATGGGTTTTTTTAGTTCATAAATCAATAAGACTGTCTTTACAAATATTACAATAGTAAGATACAGAGCAGTAAGTGTTTAAATATTTTTTGTTATTAGATTTTTTAATTATTTTTTTAACAATCAAGCTTTTTTTTCTGTAGTTTATGATAGATATACACACAAGAAAACAAGAGATATAATATATGACAAAAGGTATAAGCAAAAAATCAAGAGAAATAGATAAGAAAGAATAATAAAAGAAAATATTAATTTTTAATTTAATAAAAATAGGCTTTATTTATATGTAATTTAATTCTTCAAAAGACTTATTGAAATGCTGATATGTCTTATAGGCTCTTTATTTTGACAATTAAACTTTTTGTTTTGATAATTATACTTTTGTTTAATCATTATTATTATCTGTTTTGATATGTTTTCTTAGACAATTTTATAGCAATCAGTTTTAAATAATAAAATATTGGTTTGCCAATAGGTATTTTGAATAATTAAACTTTTTGTTTTGATAATTATGCTTTCATTTAATCAACTATTATCCATTTTGATATGTGTGTTCTCTTTGACAAGTTTATAGCAATTGGGTTTAAATCTATAAATTATCAGTATACTGATAACTATTTGAAAAATTAAATTTTGTGTTTTGATAATTATACTTTAATTAATCATTATTATCTGTTTTGATAAGTATGTTTTCTTTGACAAATTTATAGTAATTGGTTTTTAAATAATAAAATATCAATATGCTGATAGGTATTTTGTTTTATTTGACATAATCAAAAATTAATCTATACAGTTATCAAACAATTATCAGCATTCTTTTTTCTTTATATAACAATAAAACAAAATTCAATATTAAGATAATTTTGTATATTGTATATAATCAGATAAAAAAATAAAGTTATTAGTATTCTGCTATATTGTCAGGCTTTTTTTTAATGTAAACAAATCAAACTTGCATAATATGTGCTTTAAATATACAATATTATGCAAGTTTAATTATATTTGATTTTAAGTTAGATGATAATTATCTGAAAATAAGATCTGACTAAAATCTATAAATAAGTCATACTTTTTTTTTTATGCTTACGATAACTGATTTTTGTAATGTATTTATTTTTTTAAGTTGATAATATATCATACTTTTATTTGAGCCATGTAAGCTAATATACTTTTTATTTTATTTATATTTTATTTGGAATAACTATTGCTATCATTCAATAGTTGGATATATAATTAGACTAAGGTAAATTTATATATAAAAAATAATTTTTTTCTTTTTTTTCTTTAAATAATATAATCAAAAAACTGATATTAAAAAATTTTTTTTGATATTTTGGTTTCTATACATTTGACATTTTTGCTTCCACATCTTCTATTTTATAAAAAAAAAATACACAACTCAAGACTATATAAAATAAATATAGTACTATACTGTTAATCAATTTTACCTTCTATGATATTCTGTAGTAGTTATTAATTAAGCCAAAGCCACCATGGCTTGCCTACAACATTCTAATCAAACAATTACAATCGACAATTAGAAAGTCGTAAAAGAAGATTCAAGTTTAGGACTAGGTTACTACCAACTAATAGAAATAACAAATATTTTAAGTGCTGTTTTGGATTTGCAGATAAAAGCAAAACAGGTGAAATAAAGTTATAGGCATTTGTATATTACTTTATTAAAACTTGTAAATTAGTAATTTTAATAATATTTATAATAATTTAATTTTGCAAGTTTCAGTAAAGTTGTTTTTTTATAAGACTATTAATAAACTGATAGGTCTAATAAGTTATTTAATAATACTAAAAATAAGTTTTTTGAAAGGTGTAGTTTATGCTTTAATTAATGAAATAAGAGAATTAAAAAAGACATCCTGAACACCAACTCCAAGTGTTCCAAATAAAGGTGAAAATGAATATAATTAACAAAATAATAAATTTGGTGATACTGCTGGTATTACTGAACTTTTATATCTATTAAAAAATTGTGATATAATAGACCTAAAAAATAAAATGAACAATATTCATTCCTTTAGCATCAACAAAGCCAATATTTATATTACAACTGATAATGCAAATACTAATATTACTATCATTTAAAATAATAGTAATACTACCAACATTGATCTCAACATCACCACCAGAGAAGCATTTTACAGAATCACTACCAGAAATAGAAGCCCCATCACCACTACCAGTAATGCAGATCCTACCACTACCAGTAATGCAGATCCCACTACTACTATTAGTAATACAGATCCTACAACTATCACTAGTAATGCAGATCCTATTACCATTATCAGTAATGCAGGTCCTACCATCACAACTACTAATATTATACCTAATATACAAAAAAAGAGTAAATAAAAAGATAATGACAAAGATACAAATAACTATCAAAAATTATCTGTTTCTCCTGAACTACCTTCCAGCTATCCTAAAAGGTCATGTAAGAAGTTGGAGGATATGGATAAAGATCAATATAAATTATTTTATGTATATGATAAATAAATATCTTCTAATAAAATTGGAAACTTTAAATATAAAATAATAGTTATTTTATAGAAGTTATTATTTAAACTTTTTATTTTCACTTGGCAGTATTCATATTAATTTTTTAATAAAGCTATTAGCTTAATTAACATTTTTTTAAATTTGTAAAATAAAGTTCTTCAAATATTAAGTAACATTGACAATAATTTATAGTTGGATCATACCAAATCATGAACTAAAATATCTTGTTACATGTTCAAGAAAATTATGCCACAATGGGTAAGGCTTTAAAGAGCAATTTTAGATATAAATTGAGTGAATTGAAATATGTTCTTCAAAGCTTTTATCAACATCAACATAAAATTTGAAGAATTAAACAAGATCCTAAAAGATTTTGTAACAACAAAAAAAGAACTAGAATAAATAGAAGGCACCAAGAAGTAAATATATGGTTTAGTTGCTTATTTTACTAAAATAACTTTATAAGTTATATAAAATTGTATTATATTAATTATACATCAATAGTAATACTACTAATATAATACTAATATAATGCAATTTAATATAACTTGCAATATTATTTTAGTTAGGTAAATAACTAAATAGGTCTATAATCCTTTTTTATTTTAATAAAAATACCGATTTACTGATATTAATTATAATTTATTTATTTATTTTATAAAAAAATGAAAACATATTCAAGGTATTAGTTATATAGTTAATATTAATGATAAGAACCTCATAGAACTTTCTTCTTTGATAAGTTGGAATGAGTTTAAAGATGATCTTAAGTACATAATTAATAATAGTAATTTTTATTCAGATAAAGTTTCAGAAACTGATATTGAATGGGCTCTAACAGAATGCTGATAAAATATTTATCCTAAATCCAAAAAAGATAAAAAGGATAATTATGTACTCCATGTTAAGAATAAATAATGAAGATTTTGGTAGATAAATAATTATATATTATTTTTACTAATTCTGATCATGATCAATATACTATATGCATTATCTATAAAAATCGATAATGTTTCCTTATTCTAATTATAAATTATTATTTACCTTTTTTATTCTATATAAATTAGAGTAAAAAAATTATACAACTCATTGACCAAGTAAGTAGAAATATTTTACATATTAAATGTACCAGAAAATGATAGTACAATGATATAAGCTGGGTCAATAATTCTAGACCTTCAGCTGATGTCTCTACTTGAATTATATCTACTTTATATTATTTTGAAGATAAAGATGAAGAAGATAAAAATAATGATAATAAAGGAGATAATGATGATGATGAAGAAGTAGATAATAATAAAATAGATGAATTAGATTATAAAGAAGAAGCCACAGCAAGTGGCAGTGGTAATATCAGTAAAAATGGCATAAATAATAATAATATAAATAAAGAAAAGCTAAAGAAACTACTATTATTACCAATAGTGAATAAAAAGCAATAAATTAGAAATAATATATTTTCATTTTTGCTAGCATCATCAATTTGTTTAAAATTGTGTATAACTTTTGTATTATTGTTTTTTTTAAAATTGTAATATTGCTTTTAAATATAATGTTTTATAAGTATATTTAGTTCTATTGCTTTAACAAAAATGTTTCAGTAATATCTAATACAGTGAAGCAATAACAAAAAAAAACAATTATTTTAAATATAGTGATATCAGAATTCTGATATGCTTATGATAAGTGTTCTGAAATTACTGATATTATTTCTATATAATTAATATTAAGATTTTGATTAAGTTATTAATTAGCTGATATTAATTATTAGTTAAATGAAATAATACTAAAAGATTTCTTTTAATTGTCTGATATAATTCTAAAAGGTATCCTATTTCTGCCAAATTTCTGTTTCATATTAGTAACATATTAGGTTTAAATATCATTATAATATTGTTAAACTATCATTTAACTTTTATTTAATATTAGCTTTTCAATATTTTACTAGTATAGATTTATTCGACCTGTATCTGATTCACAGATGCTACCAAGCTAATGTTCAATCCTTTTAGAATCCTTTCTATCTTTTATATCTTTTAATATATACATATTGGACATAATTTTTTTGGCTTAATTATTAGTATATTAAAAATTTACAAATAAAATTTTTTCAAGATCATGTGGTTCTAAAAGCACTTTATTTTTTATAATTACTAATGATACTATAATACTACCAATATTACAATATTATCAATACTAGTATAGTACTAATGCTACTATATTACTGATACTAATATTAGTATAATACTGATAGTCTTATATTGCTGATATTATTATAATACTAATACTAGCATAATATTAATATTTTTTTATATATTTTTTATTTATAGTAAAAAAAAACTTCTAGCAATTATCTATTAATATGATCACACCTTAGCTTAAAACACATATTAGTTCTAAGGCTAGTTACTTGTCTTTCACAAATTACAAAAATATTATGCAATATCATGATATAAAGTCTAAACCTCTAGTTCAGCTAAGTAAAAAATATAATATATCAAATAGTTGTTTATACTAAATTTAGAGAGGACAAGAATTTAATAGAATTTAATGAAATAATTTAGCAATCACTCCAAATATATAATTATAGATAAACAGAATAAGAAGAGCCAAGCCAAAAGAGATTTTTAAAATGAGTTTAATTCTGCTTTTATAGCACTAGAAGACAAGATACATGATACTAAAATTAGCAAATCTACTGATCTAGCTTTAGAAGAGAATGTTATTTCAGATAGTAAAGCAAAAAAGACTGAAAAAAGAAAATTAAGATCAAAGAGTGTTTGTATCTCTGATTCTATTTTATCTACTGGATTTTCTGAAGATGTATTGGATTTGTATAAGAGAACTGCTTCTGAAATAGAAAAAATTAGAGCATCTGATCATATTCTTATTTTTAAATGATTAATCAGCCTTATTTGGTTCTAAAAAGATCCTTTCATATCAGTTAAACAAATTATTATAGTATCCTATAATTTTCAAATTCAATTGAATACTAAAAAATATTGCTTTTTTAAGCTCTTTTATACAAATTGCTATATCTTTAACTGAAGGTATAGTCTCAAAAAAACCTACTAAAGCATAATTTATATAATTTACATACTTTTTTTTAAACTATCTTTACCAGTTAAACTAGAGAAATTGGTAGATACATTGTCTTGCTCCTTTTTTGGCAGATCTTTAGCTATTAGAGCCTTGCTATATGTTGAAATAACATAGGTTTTCTTATATAACTTTATATAGAACTGGTTTTTATTTGGCTCAGGAATATCTTGAAACTTTTGAATATTTGATATATCTAAAAATAGTATTGGTTCAGGTTCACTATTATTTATATATACAAAATTCTCAATGACTGTAACTAACTTATCCTTTTTGTCCTTTATAGTAACTAACACATCTGTGTATCATTCTAATAAATCAGTAATATGCTTAGAATTGCCTTTTATAGCAAAATCAGATGGCTTATCAGCCTTTTATTCAAGCATCTTAATTTTCAGATTATTTATGCTACCAAATTCACTTTCCAGATCTAAAAAAGATTCAGAAATCACTAAATCATTTATATTTATATTTAGATATTGTAGAAAAAAAACTACTTATCTGATTCCTTTTTTTGAGCCTTTTAGAACAAGCATATTTTACATATTGTTAATGAAAGTTTTGGCAACAGCTTATTATATATTTCAGGTTAACTGGATTCTATTAGTATCTGTTTTTTTTTACTAGTGAATTATACTTAGTCTATTTATTATTTTCTTTATCATAACTATTTTTTTCATTATCTAAACTTGAAAACGTGTTTTGGAAATTTATAAATATAAGAGGCTTAAAATAAGTAGACTAATTGAAATTAAATTATGCTATCTGTCTATTGGAACAACTACCTTTGCTATGGTCTGTCTTTTTGCAAATATTATATTTTTGTATGTATGCCTTTTTCTGAAATTGATTAGCTAACTGGTTTACAATATCTTAAGTTTTATTAATTCCTTCTTCCAATCTATCAATTCTAATAGAAACATTGCTTTATTGTAAACAAGATCTTTGAAAAGGCTTTATAAGATAATTCGAGTTTAATGTTTTTTGGCTAAAGATATCTATATCTTTTAAGAATTTTGTTATGTAATAATCTTTCATGCCTTCTTTTGTATTTAGTGAAAATAGAGGCCCTCTTGGCTGTCTAACTGGTTCGACAGTTTGTAGAGCCAGTACTTGTACTTTTTAAGCAACCAATTGCTAGACTATTTGTGATTGTAATTTGGTAAGTTTATTTTCTAATAACTGGTTTTTACTTTTTTGCTATGCAAATGCATTCTGAAATATTTTTTATAAATCTGCTATTCCTTGCTATTGAGAAGCTGAAATGAGTAAAGGTTTATATATTTGCTAACATACTAATAGATCAAGTATTTTATTTCTTTTATGTCTAGCTATTTGGTATAACTTTATCTCATATAGCTTTTTAGCCAATTTATCTAATGACAAATGCTTACTAATATCCTTAGCTTTCAAACCATAAAAATGAAAGAGCATCAAAACTTTTCTGCATAATTCTTTAGACCTATAGTTGGTTTATCTACCTATTCATAATAATTTTCTATATAATTTGTTTATAGTCATATTTCTTTTTCTGATTGTTCTATATATCAAATTCTAAAGCTTCTTTTCTACTATAGAAAAATATATTTTTAGCTATTATATGGCTTGACCAAAATAAATACTAGCTACAAGTACTGTAGTACTATTGTTAGCATTTAGTACATTAACAGTATTATTAGTAAAATAACCATCTGCTATGTGTCAATCTTCATTCTAGAAACCTTCTACAGCTCTTAATTTGACTATTGTATTTTCTAGTTAGCCAACTATCTTATTTAATACATTAGCTTCTATTTGTACTTCTGTTTGTCCATTTATGGCTACTAAGTTAGCCTGCCCTATATTATTAAGTAAGTTGGTTAATTTCCAATTTGTTGTTATTGTAATCTCTTTATCGAACTATTCTAAAGCTCTTTTTTTCATGTATCCTTTTAAATATTTTATAGCTACTTCTTTTCCTGTTAGTGGATCTTCCACATTATCTGCTAGATCTACATCTTGGTTTTGCAAGTATAATCTAAGTTTTGCAAGAAAATATGGTATATTTTCATTCTAGTCAAAAAATAATTGTAGTATTTCTGCCATTCCTATTTGTTGTATATTAGGTAGATTATTCTGTATTGCAAAAATTTGTTAATTTAAAATTAAAATATTTTGGTACTCTGTATGAGTCTTATTTTTTTACTTCTCATATTACTCATAGAGCCTATTCTGATTATATTCTAGCAAACCTTTATCAGCTTTGCATCATTGTAGGTAGTAGGCATTTCACTGATAAAGTAGTTATAAGATAAATTTTTTTCTGTAGTAATACACTAATATAAGTTCACTTTTCTGTTATATTGTCTAATATTCTGTTTACTTGATTCTAGGTATTAGTTTATAACTGATTAATTTCAAGCAATGCCTGGTCTTACTTCTGTCTGTATATATTATAGTTCCATTATTCATTTATTAGATCTTGTTGCAGATTAGTGTATTTATGTCAGATTAATCTTGTTGATCTTTTAATTTGATTTTTCATAATATTTTTACATATTGTTGTATTATATAAAGATCGGTTTATAGCATTAACTAACTCAGCTATTGTAGCTATGTCTAAATCAAAATTATATAAGTCTAAAGAATTTTCATCTGAATCAGATTTGTTTTCATTATTATTTCATACTTGTATATTTTGTAAAGTCTCTTGTATATTTATAAGTTCTTTTCTATCTCAATATCTTAATAATGCTAGTGCAAAATTTGGCAAAGAAGATTTGTAATACAATTTTTTGTTGAGTTATTTTGTTAATTTTATTAAATTGATTATCTTTTACTGTATTTATTTCTTATTTAAGGTATTCATTTTCATCTACTAATCTTGTTGTATAATCTTGTGCTTTAGTCATGTTTTCTGCAGATTTTGATATTTTTGTATTTGAGTTTTTAATTTTATTTCATACTCATCAAATTCTAATATTAACTTATTCTTATTTGAAATTTCTTTGTCTTTCTTTTTATTTTCTTTCTTGAGTTGATGAACAATTCTTTTTAGTTTTAAGATTTCTTTTTTTAACTCCTTTTTCTCTTGCATAAAAAGTTCAATGACACTATTTAATTCTTCTTCAAGAAATTGTATTCTTTCTTCTCATGCACCAATAATTTGTTTTAAAGTATATAGTCATTTTTTGAAATCCTTATTTGATTCTGCTAATTGAGATACCACCTCATAGAGTTTTTGATTATTCTGTTGTAATTTATTCATATTTTTTTATTTCTTATATTTTATATTGATGAGAAATTGCAAAAGAATTAGAATAAAAGAACTAGTTATTTATATCAATTCTCAGAAAGCACATAATCTTGACTAAGATCTTACTCTGCAGAAGCTCTTTTACTGACCTAAGGGCTATTATCAAACTGCTAAAAAAATGTAGAATGCTTGTAAGAAGGTTGAATATGAATTTACTTTAGTTAAAATAAAAAAATAGTTAGACTAACAGGCTTTACATCAGATTCATAAGCCTTGGTCAAAGTTTATCTTACAAGCATTTTTTAATAATATTATCATAACTATTAAAGTTATTTAAGCTGATTTATGTTATATGCCTTATAATCAAATTGGAAATAAAACTTATAAATTTGCACTTAATTGTATAGATATCACTATCTATACTAAATAGACATATCTTTTAACTAAACATAATTTTGCTAGTATGGCTAAAGGATTTGTAAAACTTTTTAATTCTCAAATATGCCAATTATCTGGTTTAAAGTTAAAGTTTTAATAGTAGATAAAGGTGTAAAATTCCAAAGTAATATTATAAGATTAATAAATAAACATGATATTCAAATTCAATAACAAATTCTAAAGAGTTTATAGATATTGTTGAGAGATTTAATTATACATTACAAGAGTAGGCATTCTTTATTCAAGATAGTATTGAAATAAGATTACCTTCTACTGAATGCTGTTAAGCTTAAATAAAAAATTTTCTAATTTTTCTTGTAAAGCTTGACAATTCTGTAACTTGACTTCTGGGTATTTCTTCTGCTGAAGCTCAAAAAAAAGAACATGTTTTTGCTAAAGCTTCTAAGCCATAAAAAGGACTAATTAGATTTAATAAACCTAAATTATCTTCTAATATCTTAGTAAGATATTTGCTTAATTCTGATAAACTAGAGGAAGAAAAAAGATGTACAACTGATATGAATTAGTCTTTATAAGTTTATCATATTAAAGAATCACTAGTGCAAAAAAATTAGTCAGTTTTGTACTGGCTAATAGATAATGAAGGCAATGGTTTGAAAAGATCTTTTGTAAGAAAAAAGCTTCAAATCATAGGTTCTAATACAGAATTACTACTACAATAGATAATTATGAATTAAATTTCTAATTTATGAAGTTTAAGTATTTTATTTACTTTTTCTGTAGATCTTTTTTGTATAACTTCTTCTTGGTTTGCAAATAAGAGATATAATTTGTATAACTTTTCAAGACTCTAATATACTTCTTTATTATATCAGTCTTTGAAATCCATTATTTTTTTATTATAGGCTTTCTTATTTGGAGCTTGTTGCTTTGATATATATCTGCAATGATCATCTGGATCTCTTTTATATTGCAATGTTTTCAAATAACTTATATATGCTAATCTCATTTTGTTATATTTTTTTTTGCCTTGACTATATGCTACTTTGATTACCTTAACTAATGCTGATTCGATATCTTTATAGTTAACCATTTTGTATAAGTATTAAATATTGTTTGTATTAATATAATGAAAACTTTAATTTAAAATAAAATATTTATTTCTTATTACTATGCAAGGCAAATATTTTTGCAACTATTTATTTAGAACTAGATGAATTTGTGAGTGAATCTGCTATTAGTTAGAAGGTTATTTTGAATATTAGAAAGCTAAACCTCACATTCTTTATAAGATTTGTAGTAAGCCAACTAGTGCTAAACCTGGTCTTTGTAGAGATTATGCTAGTAGATAATATGTAACCTAATATATTAATAGGCTTTAGGATAAAGCTAATGCTGATGCTAATACTAATGCTTTTATTCGAATAAAAATTGATGAATTGCTTCTAGAGCTGTTAGTGAACAGAGCCAAAGAAGCAAGAAAGCAAGGTCAAGCATCTTTTTTGCAAGGTTTGTAGCAAGCTGACTAGCTTTAAACCTGGCCTTTGCAGAAAACATGCTAGTGTTGCTATGTAACCCAATATATTAATAAGCTTTGAGAACTACCTTTTTGCAATAATTGCTCAAAGTTAGAACTTTGAGTGATGAAATTATAAGGCCCAATAACTGATTATACTGCATGTACTCAATCTGTTTTTTTTTCACACCTTAGTTTACTCATAGCAATTTAAGGTTAACAAGGCTTTGAGTATATAAGAAAACATAAAATAGAGTAACAAAAAAGTTACTCAGAAGTAAATCTATTTATCTTCTTTAATAGCATACTAAAATAGAATAGCAATATAGGTTAAAAAATATAACAGAAATATTCGCTTCACTCTAAAGAACTACACTTATATTTCTGTTATATTTTTTTGACAAAGGCATCTGCATTACTCTAAGGGCTTATGCTTCTGCCTCTTCTTTAGCTATTTAAATAATATGCTATTAGGAGGCAATTTGATTATATTATATGCAAAAATTTTTTTATACACCTAGTCTATTCATAACAATTTAAGAGTAACAAAACTTTAATAAATAAGAAAACAAATTAGTGAACTTAAAGTTAACAAAGCTTCAAATAAATAAAAAAACAAATTAGCAAACTTAAAGTTAACAAAAGTTCAAGTAGGCAAGAAAACAAATTAGTAAACTTAATAAATAGAAGGTGTTAAAGTACATTCTTGGTATATAAAAATTTATACCATTATATAGACCTTCTAATTTAGTTCTAAAGCCAAATAGGATAGCAAAAATATAGTATTTTTTATATATAATAGTGAGTCTAATGAAGGTGCCAAAGGAGTTTTACAAGTATAAAAATTTATATATACAGTTTGTTCACACTCTTTGCTGCTAGAACTGCATTTATTATGATTGCTGTTTCTACTTTCACAAATTATCATTATACCTTTATACTAGCTATATATAATATTATATTAAATCTATAATTAAAAAATATCATCTGTAGTAAAGTTGAATTAAGTATTACATAATGTACTATTTGGTAAATATTTGTAACATATCAATTATAACTAAAAAATACAATATTAATTTTTATTATATTAGAATAACTTTGATAACAGTAGCTTTAATCAAAAATTGACCAACACAATTATTAATAATAAGTTTTTTTTAAGTTTTCACAAAGGTAAACAATTAATATAATTAATGCAAATCAATTCTAATATTGAACTTAACATTAATATAACTTCTTTGTTTTAAAATAATTTTTTAATTCTTTTGCAAAATATACAAAACAAATTATTTAAAATCTATTAGTAGTATTGTTTTTTTTGTAATTTTTTATATATTGTATACAAAATGTATTTTATATATATAAAATAAATAAATTATATTTAATTTAAACATTCAAATATTATTCACTTTAAGTTAATAAATATAAAAATAAATTACTATTCCTTAAACTGTTTTTTAGACAAATTTGTCTGAATTTTTAAATTAAATTTAGTATTTTTTAAATAATATAATAAATTATTAATAATAT